TCCGAGGCCGCCGTAATAAATAGATCGTATTATCTCGTCAATCTCTAAACTCTAATAACACCATTGTTTCTAATCAGTACAAATCAACCGACGAAATTTCAGAACGACATTTCCGCGGTTTGGCGCGCGAACAATATTCGCCACGGCCGCCCCGCGCGTCCCAATATTCCGCCAAAGCACCACGTTTTAACATTCGATCGGTAAATTCTATTGTTTCTCTGTTTCTCTAAAGCAGTCTTGCATATAACGGCAACAATTTTTTGTTCGCGAATTAGTCCGCTCATTCTCTTATCTGTCATTCCTTCGTTCGTTCCTCTTCGCTTCGTCGACCCGTTCTACTGCTTGAAATTAAAAAACAAACACACAGGACGAATGTTGTGGAAATTAGTCGAATTCGACGGAATCGTTCCTTTTTTTCTTCTGTGAAAATCTATAGATACGTAGAATTTGACAAATTGACCAACATTGACAAAAAGATAGTGTTCTCTGTGATTTGCTTTTGTCGATCGATTGGAAATGAATGAGGGCGGGGATGAATTCGACATCATTCGGACTTTTGTCACTCTTGTTGAACGAAGAAGGAACAGCATCTCGCGATCCGTTGCGAGATAAGACGCGCGTTGATTGACGGAGAATCGAAGCGTTCGTACGAGTTTTCGTAGTAACAATAACATCATCTCCTCCTCTATTTTCTTTTCTATTTCTTTCTCATTTTTTTTTTTTGTTCTTTTTCTTTTATATGATCGTTGCAAAATAATTCTACCTTATAGCTTACGGTATCACAGAGTTACACGCGGTATCGTTATAATTGCTCCCACTTCGTAATTTTCGCGAGAAACGAAAGGGAAAGCGCGTAATTGTCTTGCATCGAAAAATCATACAGCGCAATTTTATGGACGCAGACGATGTCGCCGTGTGTTTACACTTTCCTCTCTAGAAAAGCTTCGTCTTACGCGTGTCTTTTCTAATACTGTCCAATTGCAAAAAGTGAATCGATGCTTTTCTTTTCTCGAGTCCTCGATCGAGTTTTTAATCGAATCTTCTCCGAAGGTAAAAATCAGGCGAAAATAAATTTTAGCATTCTACTCTCTCTCTCTTTGGCTGAAATTCTTTTTCTCATCGTGTGAAGAGAAGAGAGGGAAAAAAGAGTTTTCAAGTTTTTCTATCTTCTATCTTACTAATTTGTCCCAGATTTCTCTTCTTCTTCTTCGTAATTTTCATATATTCGTGTAATTGCACGTAAGGTATAATCTCTGTGATTTCATTCGATGTCACCGAAAATACGTCGTTCTGCGTCCGAATGTTAAGAACACACTCGCCGTCTTCACCTCTCTGAATTATTTGTCGATGAGATTGCAATATCAACGTACTAACGAACAACAGACTTGACCGCATATTTCGACGGAAGTGACAAATTCTATACTGTAGTGCCCGTTGTCACGGCATTCGACAGTGCCGAAGCGAGCGTGTGGATGTGTGTTGTGTGAAATGCGTAGATTTTTGGAGAAACCGACGAACAAGGAAGTCGAGTGTAAGTCGTAGAGTCGTTAGAGAGACAGCGAGAGGTTGTAATGAGACGTGTTAGGTGTTAAGACGCATGTGTATGTATATATATATATATATTTATTATCAGACGTAAAATGAATAAATCGCTTCTCGTTTGTGATCCGTCACAATAACCCGCAATACTATAGAAGAATTTAACAAACGCTTCGTAACGACTAATCAAAACAGCAAAATCGAGTATGCCTCGGGCGCGGGACATAGGGAAAGCGCTATGATAATACACCACGATATCAAACATCGCGAGGATCTTTATCACTATTTCTTCTTCTTCTTCTCATATTTTTTTTTTTTCGTTTCTTAAGAAAATATCTCTTTCCCGGTGTGATCTA